GCTGTGGCACCAGTGGAAGAAAGAATAAATATGGGAAAGAAAGAACAAAGAATCGCCATCGAGAAGCACTCTGGGGGGACTGAAAGTCCCCACCTTCACCCAGGGGCAGAGTGAGGTTCCAAAAACTCCCAGGGCAATCAGGTGCCCAGCTCCAAGGGCCATCTCTAAACTGGGCTCCCCTTTCTGGCCTCCCGCAGCTACTAGAGAAGGAGCTGTTGATCGCAGTGAGGAGGCAGCAGAAATACCGTCGTCTCGTTCTTGTCTTGCTGCCTCCTCAGGTGACTTTCCTGTGAGGCACCTGCAGGCCTCATCTGGCGTCCACTTCAACCTGAACTATCGGACTAATGCCACCCTCTTTTCCACCACCCTTTTCTCACTGCACCTCTGTGTCCACCAGGCTTGAAGAAGAACAATGAACCTTACCAGTTAATAGAAAGAGCTCAGCAACACCCCTCTTCAAGTGACACCCAGGACACGGGTCATACACCTTAGACATGCCTCTGCCTGTACCCCCAACTGTGGTACAGAGACTCACAGACTCTCAGAACTACAAGAAACATGATCAATAATCTCACCCCTTCGTACTATGAGAAGAAATTAAAACTTCTCCTAAAAGAAAAAGCAAACCCACAGCTGTCGAGTGGATTCTGACTGACAGCAACCCTACAGGACTGGACAGTACCATCCCTGTGTTTCTGAGACTGTAACCGAAACCTCATCTTTCTGCCGAAGAGCTGGTTGGGATTTGAACTGTTGACCTTGAAGTTAGCAGCCTATTGCATGAGCACTATGCCAGCAGGGCCTGGTGTTTCCTGGGGCAAGGCCAGCACAGGATAGAAGCCCCCATTAGCAGTTTACTGCTCTGCTATAAGCCCATCTGCTATAGTCCCCTAGGACTTGGCGCAGCAGAACGACCCTTTCACAGGGGTCGCCAGATCCATGACAGTAGCAAAATTATGAAGCAGTCACGGCAATAATTTTATGGCTGGGGGCCCACCACAACATGAGGAGCTGGATTAAAAGATCGCCGCATTAGGAAGGTTGAGAACCACTGACTTGGAGCTTAGGCAAGACCTGGGCTAGAGAACCAGGGACCCAACAGGCTGAGCAAACCCATCAGGTACCCACTCTCAGGCCAGGCTACGGGGTCAGCAAGGACGATGCTCAGTAGACACATTGGGCTGCTGTGTGGACATGGACCTGGGGCCCAGACTGGTTACCAAAGGAAAGCTCAGCCTTTGGAATAAGTCTCCACGTCAATCTCGCTCGTAGTAAGGGCTGCCTGCCTTCTCTCTCCCGGGGACTCCAGGCCTGGAAGGCCATGTGCCCATGGTGGAATATTCCAAATGATGGAGAGTACCACAAAGGGTTAACGTGCTTGCTGCTAACTCAGAGGTTGCCAGTTCAAGTCCACTCAGAGGTTCCTCAGATAAAAAGACCTGGCGATCTACTTCCAAGTGGTTGGGCCCCCCCCACCCTGTGTTCCCCACAATGCAGGGAGCGCCCACCCAGGATCTGCAGCATTCCTGTGTCATTGTCTTTATTTTTTCAGGAGGTGCTGAGGGAAGGAGGCAGTGAGACACCTGCCCCCAGTTTCCTTTCCCAGGGGACTGGAGTTCTGGGGATTTTCCCGGGTTCACGGCAGCTGGGAGGAGAGAGCCTGTCATCCGTGGTCACAAGCAAGAGGCAGCTGGCAAAACTTTTTTTCTGGTTGTTTTATTTGAAAATCCTAGGATGTGTGCCCCTTCCTCACCAGACCCATCCCCTACCCCACCCCCAAGAACATGACAATGCCACACACACACACACACACACATACACACATACATACATACACACACAAGGCTGTGAGCTGCACACAGGAACATAGGGGCTGTGCTCACGACAACATTGAAAAAATATACATTATATATAATACACCTAGGGGGCCCCTGCTTCCCGCTTCCATCCTCACAACCTAGCCAGGGCCAGGTCAGAAAGGAAGGGGCAGGGGCCTAGGACCCCAGGATTGCAAGGGTTGGAGGAGAAGACAAAACAGGAAGGGAGATGGGAATATGGGAGAAGCAGGGGTCCCCAGAGTGAAATGGAAATAGAGGTGGTTGAGGATCACAGGGGGAGAAACAGGGATGGCCCAGCAGGGTGTGTGTGTGTGTGCTGGGGTCAGAGGGAGAAATTCTTCCCAGGGACAGGAGAGAGTAGGGGAGGCTAGAGTAGAGGATTTCCTTCAATTCCCCCACCCCGCCATTACTACACACTCCCACCACCTCAACAGTGCGTGGATGGTGGGGGTGGGGGTGGGAACAGCCAGAGCTAAGGCCCTACGGGGGTGGGCGTGCAGCAGGAAAGGCAGCCAAAGTCCTCCGGCTACCTTTCCACAGCAGCCAGACCAGACCTGCCAGAGGCAGGCAAGAGGCAAGAGAGGTTCAAGGAGTCTAGGGGGAGAGGGAAGGGCTGGGAGGGTGGAGGCACAGGTCCCAGGGGGACCCACTGGGCTTTGGATTCCCTTTGTGGGGCTCTTGGTCTCTCTTCTCTCTGAAAGCCCTTCTCCCTTTTCGGGGTGTGACTCTGTCTCGCCCGGGCAGGATCTGCTCTGTGTCGGCCTTAGTAACGGTGTGGAGGGGTCTCAATGATGCGCCTCTCATCGCTGCTGGGGGAGTCGGCTGCCTCGTAGTCACAGCTGTCCTCCTCCTCCGGCTGTCCAGCGGCAGCCCCGGTCACACAGACCTGCCGGTCCTGGTAGGACTAGAGAGGACAGGAGCCCAGGAGCAGGGATGGATGGCAGGCACGTACCTCAGTCCCTCCTCGCCACCCTGTTCTCCCTGCCACAGTCTCCCCATTCCTCACAAAGCCTCCCTCCCGCACACTGCAGCCTGGGGGTGGATGCCAAGCCAGGACCTGGGTCCTTGTTGGAGGCTTTGCCTTGACCGCTCCAGCCAGCGGAGTAGGGGCCCCCTCCCTCCACGCGTCCTGCCCCTTCCCCAGGGCCACTCACCTCCATAGGGTTCACGATAATCGTGAGGGCTGAGTCATCCCAGAAGAGGTCAGGGTCCTTGGGGTCACTGGAGGCCCCCGGGGAGAGCCCGGCCCCCGAGACGCGGCGGTGAAGGGAGTGGATGCGCACGAGGCCCAGGACGACCATGAGCACCAGGAAGCCCACACACACCACGATGATGAGGGTCGCAGCACTCGGGACCACTGCAGTGGGGAGGACGTGGGTGAGGGGGCGGTGAGTGGCCAGGCCCTCCTGAGGGGGCTGCACACAGCAGTGGAGGGGGCTGGGTGGAGGAGGGAGCCCAAGGGTGAGAGGGGACAGGATCCAGGCTAGCCAGAAGAGGGGAGCATCTCACAGAGCTGGAATAGAAATGGAGCCCCCTGGGAAGGACAGAGGGGTGGGGGTGAGGGCCAGGACAGATGGAAGAGGAAGGTTCCTTGGACCAATCGGTTTTAAGCAGCGCTGTTCTCTGCCAAGAGGCCAAGGATGGAAATCTGCCAACGTCATTCTGTTTGTGCCATCCCCAGGGCCCACTCAGCCTAGGAAAGAGGTGCCCCAGTGCCCAGTGGGGGGAGGACAGAGGCAGCCACAGGACCCTGGCTGGTGCAGGAGTGGAGACACAGGCCAGGTGTCCAGGAAGGCGGTGCCAGTCTGAAGCAGGGAGGCAAGTCTAAAGTCTTCCAGGGGGCCAGAGGCGGCCATTACCCACCTGTCCTGAGCTCGCTCCTGCTCGCTGGCAACTCCCTCCTCCTGGTGGGCTCCCGGCTGCCAGATGTAGGGAGCCTCTGCTCCACCATAGTCTGCCCCGGACCTGTGGCCATCTCCACCCTAGGCCTCTCTCGCCTGTGATCCCGTAGCCTCACTCCGACGCCCATGTTCAGGGGGGCATAGGCCCGGAAGGGCAGAGAGACCTGGAAGGGCCCGTGCACCCTCACCCTCACCTTGCAGCTGATGGCGGCAAAGCAGAAGTGCATGCACAGGTACACGCCCAGGAAGAACATGTGGATATACAGCTGGACAGCGGACCACAGAGGCCGCACCCCAGACAGGGTTCTGCCGGCCCGCACGGCGGCCCGCACCAGCCACCGGGCAGACTGCGCACACAGCAGGATCAGAGAACTGCGCAGGAGGGAGTCCAGCAGGGCGCTGTAGAGCCATACATGCAGCATCACCCAGCTCCCTACCACCTTAGCGGTCAAGGCAAGGCCCTGAAGGACAACGTAAGCGCTACAGACGTGGACTGCGAGGGCTGCAGAGTAAGCAGTCCGGAGCACGACCCTGCCCGCCTCCTGCGCGCACATGCACGGCAGTCGGAAGAACACGAAGAGGCAGGACAGGAGAGCCGACAGCCACACGGACAGCAGGTGGAGGAAGAGGCCGCCCCCACTCGCTCCCAGGACCACGGCCCTCAAAGGCAGCTGGGTCACTCTTCCCCACATAGATGAAAACACCTGTCCTCCTGTGTGTACACAGGGGGCTCACCTGACCCCAGAAGCTCTATGAGGCCCGGACCCTGGGCAGTCCACCCATGGAGGAACTGTCACACACACGTGTGCCACCCCCAGCCGCACACACAGACCAGGGTCACACAGCCCCTAGAGACATACACACATTCTACACCCCCAGTCCCAAGTTTACCCAGCGCTTCCACCACTCAAGAGACAGAACAGAGAAGCCCTAGCATGAAAGCCCCCACTCCTGTTGTGTACCCCTTCTCCAGGCAGCCCGCACCCTCACACAGCCACACGCTCCACAGGCCAGCCAGGTATGGAGAGAATGCCCTGCCTGACCGAGTGTGCCAGTCAGGCACTTCCCCTAGGCTGCCCTGGCGGCACTCCGCCAAGTTGGTGCTTCGTCTTGACTCGACCCATGGCCCACTTGGGGCCATGCTCCAGTTAGAACTGGCTCTGTTAGGGCAGGGCAGAGATGGGCCTGCCTATAAAGGTATTTCTCAATGGAGTGGGTGGGAGGGAAGAAGGAGACAAAGTTGCGCTTTCTGTTCATTTGCAGAAAAATAGTCCCTCCCAGGTCTCCAATGTCAATGGACGAGACCCGAGGACAAGCGACAGCACCAGCAGATAAACCCTGTGACCAAGCCCAGACGCTGGAAGGAATGCAAGACCCCTCTTCAGAGGACAGGCCACGGCAGTTAAATTTGCTCTATGGACACCACGTGCACGTGTCCATCTTAGGCCTCAGTCAAGTGCATCGGGTCCCTCTGTACGCTTGGCCTGGTAAAAGAGGTGACCAGCTGATTACCAGGAAAAAAACTGATCGCAGGAAAGACAAAATACAGACCCTATCTGTAGGTAAACAGCAATTATTATTAAATGAGCCAAGAGGCAAGGGAGATGCGGTTGTCCTCATTGTGAGCCCTGGCCCATCAGCAAAGGAAGGTCCTGAAGGCTTTACTCCAGCAGGTGTCGCTGGATCTGGGCCATGTTGGCTGAGTCTACAGTTTGAGAAGGCAGTTCTTCCTCAGTCATATTTTGTGTGCCTTCCAATTGGCTCCAGACAGACATCCACCACTCGTCTGTCAGTGTTTTGTACGGTGGTGGCCTGTGGCCTGCTGTGACGCTGCAAGCTATGTCCCTGGGACTTGAAATGCCAGCAGGGTCACCCAAAGTAGGCAGGTTTCAGCAGAGCTTTCAGACTAAGAACAGACTACGAAGAAGGAGTAGGCTGTCCAATTCGGAATTAATCACTGAGAGCCGTATGGATAACACTGAGACGTCATCAGTCAGTGAAAACCTGAGGAATCGCAGCAGAACATGGTCAGAGATCGTTCCAGAAGAGGAGCCCCTCGGGCTGCAAGGGACTCAAAATGTGACTGAGGAAGAGCTGCCTTCTTTTTTAAATCGTTTTATTGGGGAGCTGCCTTTTCAAAGTAGAGTCAACCATAAAGCCTGGGGAAAAGCCTCCAGCACCTTCACTTACTGATGGGCACAGCCCCAAATGAAAAGCAATAGCTACAAGCATCCACTGGAACTTGAAATGCACAAAATATGAATCTAGGAAAATTGGAAGTCGTCAAAAATTAAATGGAATGCATACAAATTGATATCCTAGGCACCCGTGAGGTGCAATGAACCGGTATTGGCCATCTTGGATCAGAAAATTACATGGTTTGCTACGTCTGGAATGACACAATCAAGAGGAATGACACTGCATTCACCGTCAAAAAGGACATTTCAAGAAGGCTATTTGAGACACAATGCTGTCTGGGATAGGATGGTGTCTACCCTCATACAAGGAAACCCAAGCAATACAGCTATTATTCAAATGTATGCACCAACCACCGAAACTAGTGACGCAGAAAATGAAGAACTCTGCCCACATCTGCCATCTGAAAATGATCAAACATGTGAGCAAGGTGCGTTGATAATTATTGGTGATTGAAAGACAAGAGTTAGAAGCAAAGAAGAAAGAATGGTGGTTGGAAAAAATGTCTTGGGGATAGAAACGAAGACGGGGATTGCATGATAGAATTTTGCAAGATCAACGACTTCTTTTTCTCAAACACTGTTTTTTTATTCCAAAAACACAGACTGTGATTATGCACGTGGACTTCTCGAGATGGAATCCACGGAAGTCAAATGGACTACAGCTGATGGACAAGACAATGGAGGAGAAGAAGCTCAAGACCAGCAGCAAAAACCATTCAGGGGCCAACTGTAGAAATGACCTTCAGTTGCCCATAGAGAAGCTGAAGTTGAAGAAAAGGGAAACAAGTCCACAAGAACCAAAATATAACCTTGAGCATACCCCACCTAATTTCAAGGACATCTTAAGAACAGACTTGATACCTTCAATGCTAATGACAGGAGACCTGAGGAACTATGGGAGGACATCAAGAACATCATTCATGAAGAAAGCAAAAGGTCACTGAAAAAACAGGTGTGTCAGATGAGACTCTGAAACTTGCCCTTAATCATAAAGTAGCTGAGGAAAAAGGGCCAATGACGAAGTCAAAGAGCTGAACAGAAAATGTCAAAGGGCCGCTTGAGAAGACAAGTAAAATAGTATAATAAAACGTGCCAAGTCCCAGAGTTAGAAAAATAAAAGAGCAAAACATGCTCCTCATACCTTAAATTGAAGGAACTAAAGAAAAAGTTCAAGTCTCAAATCACAATATTGAAAGACTGAATGGGCAAACTACTGAATGATGCAGGAAGCATCAAAAGATGGAAAGAATACACAGTCACTGTCCCAAAAAGAAGTAGTTGACTTCCCACCATTTCAGGTTGCTGTATCTGAGCAAGAAGCAATGATACTGAAGGAAGAAGCTCAGGCTGCACTGAAAGTACTAGCCAAAAACGAGGCTCTGGGAATCGATAGCATTCCAGATGAAATGTTTCAGCAACTTAATGAAGGACTGGAAGCACTCACTCATCTAGGCCAGAAAATTTGGAAGGCAGATACTTGGCAAGCTGACTGGAGGAGATTCATATTTGTATTCACCACCACCCCCCAAAAGGTAACCCAACAGAATGCTCAAATAATTCTCAAATCTTAGAATAATATCATTAATATGACATGCACATAAATTTTTGCTGAAGATCATACAAGAGTGGTTGTAGCAGTACATTGACAGGGAGCTGCCTGAGGTTCAGATTGGATTCAGAAGAGAACTTGGAACAAGAGATATCATTGCTGATTTCAGATGGATCTTGGCTGAAAGCAAAGAAGACCATAAAGATGTTTACTTGTGCTTCATTGACTACAAAGAAGAATTAAACTGTGAACTGTGTGGACCATGACAAACTATGGATAGCCTTGAGAAGAATGGGAATTGTAGAACACTTCATTGTGTTCATTCAGAACCTGGATCAAGAGGCAATTGTGTGAACAGAACAACGAAACATGGCATGGTTTAAAATCCGGCAAAGATATGCGACAAGGTTGTATCCCCTTAGCATAGTTCTTCAATCTGTACGCTGAGCAAACCATCAGAGAAGCTGGATGATATGAATGAGGACTCAGCTTCAGGAATGGAGGAAGTCTATGATATGCAGATGTAACACAACCTTGCTTGTTAAAAGTGAGGCGACTTGAAGCACGTGCTGATGAAGGTCAAGGATGACAGCCTTAGGTACGGATTATAATTTGATGCAAAGAACATCAAAATACTCACATGATAAATGGAGAAAAGACTAAAGTTGTCAACGATTTGGTATTGCTTGAACGCACAATCAAGGCTCGTGGAAGCAGCAGTCAAGAGATCAAAGGGCACACTGCATTAGGTCAATCTGCAGCACAAGACCTCTTTCAAGTGTTGAAAAGCAAGACGGTTACTCTGAAGATTAAATCACACCTGACCCAATCGATGATATTTTCTTTTTTTTAAAATCATTTTATTATTAAAATTTATCATTTATACGACTCTTATCACAATCCATACATACGTCAATTGTGCCAAGCACATTTGTACATTCGTTGCCCTCATCATTCTCAAAACATTTACTTTCCGCTTGGGCTCTTGGAATCAGCTCCTCGTTTTTCTTCCCCCCCCCCCCCGCCCTCCCCACTCCCCCCGATGATATTTTCATAGTGGTTATGCATTGGGCTGGAATCCACATGGCCAACCGTTCAAAAACACCAGCAGCTCTGAGGGAGAAAGACTGGGCTTTCTCCTCCTGTAAACAGTTAGTCTCACAAACCCACAGGAGGTCACTATGAGTCAGCACTGACTCGATGGCGAAGTCCTGTGCATGTGAAAGTTGGACATTGTGTAAGGAAGACTGAAGTGACATCAGTGCACGTGAACTATGGTGCTGGCAATGAATATTGACCAATAAGGAGATCTGTCTCAGAAGACGTACAGCAAGAATGCCCCTCAAAGGCAAGAATGGCAAGACTTCATCTCACATCCTTTGGACCAGTCCTTGGAGAAGGACATCCTGCGTGGTCAAGTAGAAGAGCAAGGAAAAGGTGGAAGGCCTCTAGGAGACAGGGCGACACAGTGGCTGCAACAATGGGATCGAACATAAGAACAACCATGCGGATGGCGCAGGACTGGGCAGAGTTTTGTTCAATGACACCTAACATCAACAGACAGACAGATATCAAGAGTTTAAGAAGTCAAAAGAGCCTTTCTTGCTGCATTGGATCCACGCAGTGAATTCTGGTTTGGAATGGCCTGGGGGAAACGGTATGATTTGATTTGATTTGATTATAAGGACACTGTTGAAAGCTCTGTTCATACACCCCAAAACGGGCCAAAGTTCCCTGGAAGCGACTTAGTCATGGTTCCACCATGGTTCTTGACATAATGGTCAGATCCTGTCATACAGCTTTCATAACTGCTCCGGCTTCCTTTTGTTCTAGCCACGAGGAAGCCCCGGGTAAAGTACGGGGCCCATTGGAGCAACTGCCATGCATCCAGCCAGTGTCTTTCATGGACAGGTAATCCCTGATGGACGACTGGGCTTCATTCAACTAACTCCTTCAAAAGTTAGTTCTGATTTAAGACAACGAACTCTTCTTTATTTTTTTTTTGTTTTCATCATTGGTGCCTTTTACTGACTCCCATCTCCAGACATTCTGATTTAATTGGTCTAAGGTGTAACTTAGGCAGCAAGATTTTTTTTTTTAAGGCTCCCCAGGTGATTCTGACATGCATCACAGTTTGGAAGAACTGGATGAACAAAAAATTAAATGTCTTTTCTCCTCTTGCCTCACCCTTCTCAGAAAAGCTATTCGTTAGAATGGGACTCCTCCCACACCCAACCTGGAGCCTCCAGGCCTGAGGAAATAAGGATTGAAAACCTCATCAGGCCCACCCCGGCCACCCCACCAACCGAGATCTCCACTGGGTCTAAGTTTGAAGGGGTAAGACCAATATCCCACCCAGAGGAGGTTGAATGAGAGGATTGCGAAGGAAAGAACTGGAGAAAGAGCTAGGCAGTGACTGAAGTAAAAGAAATAAATTAGCCTCAGAGGCTAATTAGGTTTAGTTCACTCACACGTCTCGGTCCACTAGTGATTGTGCGAAGCTTCTTGGAGCTTTTACAACTGACTGTGTCTGACACTCTCTCCTCGCCCGTACTTCCATGCGCTTTGCTGTCATGAATCACAGGGCTTGTCCTCAAATAGAGTGGGAAAGAAGGGAGCCTGTCCCAGGGACAAGGAAGCACAAGCGACAGTGTGCGTGGTGGCCACTGCACCAGAGAAGAAACCAGACTGAATCCCTGGAGCTATGAGGACAAAGCCTGAGTCAGAGAAGCCCTGGAAATCTCCCCAGGAACTCCCCCGCCCCCCAAACCCGGTACAACTATAAATCATGAGACAGACTAGTTTTTAAAATGTTAAAGTGGAGAATCATAGTCAGTGAAAGGAGCCTGGTAGCGCAGTGGTCAAGCGCTCAGCTGCTAACCGAAAGGCTGGCAGTTCAAACCACCAGTCACTCCATAGAGGAAAGCTATAAGTCAGGTTCCATAAAGATCACACAGCCTTAAGAACCTCATGAGGCAGTTCTACTTTGTCCTACTGGTCGCCATGGGTCAGAATCAACTCTGCAGGGCCCAGCAACACCATCCATGCGCAGGCGCCGAAATCACGTTGCCTGGATTGAATGCTGGCTCTCCCACTTTCTAGCTGTGTGAGCTTGCACAAGGGCTCCATCTCTGTGTCTGTCCTTGCCTTCAAAAGAAGAGAGTCTAGTTCCAGGTTCCCTTGTTGACAAGCTCTAAGTGAGTTAATATGTGTGAAAGCCTACAGCCTCTGTGTTTATGATTCTGATTATGGCCATTACACCGATTGCCAGGAGGGCTGGGTTTTCATGGGAGAGACTTGGGTGCCCGTGAACGTCTTCCCGCGTTGCCTCTGCTGAAAGTAGTCACAGAACTCCTTTGGGAATTTCCCACAGAGCCAATGACACCGTCTTTTGACTTTTTTTCAAAAGGGACAAACCTATGCCCTTTGAGAGTAGATTTCAGCCTTAAAAATATAATATGCTATCCAGAGCCAACATCAACAAAAGTAGATACCGACGTTGGGTAATACTGCACTGGGCCAAAAGCAATGTGTGACTTCAGTAAGATGCACCTCGTGAAGGGCTTTGAAAGCGATTTTTTAAAGGGATTTAAAAGCAAAAATCAAAGCTAAACAAAAAAATTTTTTTAGCTTTTATAGTTTTATCATTCGATTTTTAAATGTTGTTTTTTGATTAAAAACATTTTTAATTTTAAAAGTGCTATTTTTTAATTCTTGAGAAAGAACACTTATTTCGTCATATAGGTTACAAAATAGTGTGCTCCCAATTTTGTAAAAAGAGAAAGATAGGCACAGACAAAGGTTAGGACCTGGTTTTCAATATTAGCAGTGGTTCCCTTTCCAAGAGGAAATGATGACTCTTTATACTTACATTTTCCATATTGTATACAATCAAGCAACTCTTTGGTTGGAAATTGAAAAATGCACTACTGGTAAAGGGGCCTGGCCAAGAAACAAAATTACCTTAAAGGGTGTCTCTGTATCTGGATTAAAATCTTATATTTTTTTGCTTTAGACATATTCTCATGAATTGCAGATAGGGCATAAGTGCACATGTAATATACCAACTTCCTATAATGCTTTCATATTTCTAAAAGCACCTGAGACAGTGCTAATATATAAAACCAAACCATTTGCTAACTAGTCAACTCCGACCCATGTGACCCTCTGTGTCTCAAAGTTGGACTGTGTGCCAGAGTTTCAACGGCTGATTTTTCTGAAGACCCCCAGCCCTGACATTCCCCTGAATAGACTTGTACCATCAACCTGAGGGTTTGCATCGAAGTGCTTCATCATTGACACCACGTGGAGAGTCTGCTAGTACACAGTAGGTGCTTCTGAGATGCTTATGTGCTTTGCTACGGAGGGAACATCCTTAGGTCCAGAACTAACTTGATATTACTGGAGGAGGACAGAAAGATTAAAATGGACACCAAAACCACGACTCCAAACGGAGTGTTTGCAGCCCAGTCCTGACCGATAAGTCAAACTGGAATCAACCTCAATTTGTAAAATGTGTCTGTATCCAAATCATCATTGAAATGGGAACGATTACAGTCGACACTCAACGCGCGGCATCCTTTCTCCCTCTTCGGACGCAAAGGTAGCAGCCAAATCTCTTGACCAACAGAGTCAGAAACAATGACATCCCGCTCCAAAAAGGATGGTCGGCCATACCACTTTAAATGTGTGCCACTCTCCATGTTCCTGGCAATAATCCCCTACATCAGATTCTCCAAGGACACACGCCGCCTCCCTGTTCCAGTCATCGTTCCAACACACCCACATTTTACAAATGCAGGTCTGCTCCAATGTTGCTGTGTCAGCCATGACTGAACTCGTTTGATCCAGTCGAAACCCCTGGCCCCAACCCCATCCTGACTTGGTGACTCAAAGTCCCCTGCAGTGACACAAAGCTCACGTTCTTCATGGGGTCTGGGGGGAGGTGGGGATTAGCGATCCAGAGAGATACATTCGACTACAGCCGTCAACCAAGTCAAATATCACAGAGGTCAGAGCCCCATGCTCCACCTCTCCCTCCCACCGCCCCTAACAGTCAAGCAGGAGGACACCTGTGCCCAGCCCCCTCCCCCGTCACCCATCCCTCCCCGCTGAACCCCAGCACGCCCCACCGTACGTACTCGAGTTTCGATGGGAGCTGGCCAGGCTGTGTCCAGCCATCTCAGGGGGCGGCTGATGACCACGGTGCAGGAACTGCTGGGAACTGAGCACATGGCTGGGGTGGGCAACCCGATTCATGCTGTGCAAGACGTTGACCTGGGCGCAGGAAGGCTCAGTGGGCACCTGGGCATTGACCCAGACCTTGCGCCACAGTCCCTTAGCCCAGCCCTACCTCTTACCTATGGCCCCAAACCGTCTCCTCCTCTACCCACCACGAGCTCTAGGAATCCTCCCTCCCTCCTGCAGTCTCCATACCACCAACTATGGGTTTCAGTCCAGGCCACCCTGCCTCCCTGCCAGTGGAGGGAAGGAGGCCGTGGGTACCTCCACGATGAATTCGTTGCTGGAATAACGGCCATTCATTTCCGAGCAGGAAAGCCGAAATTTCCTGGCATAAAGCGCAGCTCCATGCCGCAGCCGATAGTGCGCCTGCCTCAGGATCTCCTCGTACACAGTGATGCTTTCCACCCCTGGGGAGAGGACCACTCAGCACCCAACGCAGTGGAGACAGGCCGGAGGCACAACCCTCCCTCCATCTACTCCACACTCATCAGCTCACACCATGCAAAGCCTAAGGAAAGGATGTGTGTATGCGTGTGTGGTAGCGGGGGAGGGGGCCCCAAGTCACATAAAATGGGTTAGATTGTCCCTCAACAGGAGCGTGACTCAAACTCTCAGAGCAAGAGGAACTCCATGCCACCCCCACTCTGCCCTGACCCACCGCAGCTCCATCTCCTGCTCTGCCCTCTCCCCATGTTCTACGGCTTCCCAGGAGGGATGGGGGAAGGAAATAAAGAGATGCTGCAGAACAGTAGGGAGGTGCATGCAGGAGAGACTCTGAGAGATGGGAACACAAAGCAGTTCTCAATCAGGTCCTGGAAGGGAACAGAGAGAGGAGGGTCACCTGCTGGAAGGGTCTCTAGAGATTACTAGTCTGTCTGCCTTTGCCTCACTTACCGTGAAGCTACAGTGTGTCCATGAGATTTGCGAAATGGAAACTAAGCCGATGGGCTCATGCTAAACCACGGCAGGACTAGCATGTTAGTTAGGGATGTCTTTGAAGTCCACCCCTGGGACACTACCTAGAAGACAAAGGATCTTCTTCCCAGGCCGGGAAGAAGGAAAGGGGCACAGGCTCCCATGGGCCCCTCTGGGTTTCCCACACCCTTGATCAGAGAACAGGGCACCAAAAAGCGAGGCCAGGCATTCGGCCTCCACTGACCTGCAATGGTGAGGTACGCAGACGTGTTGGTGAGCTCCAGGCCGTGCTGCTGAAAGGAGGTCATGTCCAAGAGCAGGCTCTCCCGCTCGGGGTCCAGGTCATCCCCCACCAGAGAAATCTCACAGCCATCCAGGTTGTGTACAATCTCATCTGACATGCGTGTGTCTGTCACTGGGCAAGAGAAGGTGGGGCCGGGTCAGAGCTGAAGGGTCCGTTGAGGTGCTGAGGCAGCCAGGTGTTCGCTTGCTCCTCTTCCGGGGCCATTTCAAACGCTGACTTAGAAGTCATCGGCATCGTTTAAGAAGTGCAAGACCCAACCATTATCTAACACCTATGCACCTCCTGCTGGGTTACTTCCCGTCACGCCAATGCAGGAGGAAGTGACTGTCCTTTCCAGTGCCAGACTCCCCCTCCCGCCGGTTCCAGGGTCGGCCCTTCCTCTCCATGGAGGCACCCTTACCTGTGTCCTGCCAACTCTCATCCTTCTTGGCCTCCACCTGGTGGGAAATGGAGCAAGTAACTTGAAGATCGGGAAACAGAGGAACCCCCTCTGGTCCCTCAAAGTCCGCGGCTGGACGGGCAAAATGGGCTGTGCCACTCAGCAGGATTTGTGGGGCATCCGGCTGAAGAACCACCACGTAGCCCTCCACTTCCGGGATGGAGACACAGGATTCCTCGCTGAAACACCTATGGGAGAACAGGGAAGAGAGGCAACTTGTGACCCCAAAGCCCCCTCTCTTACAATCCATATCTAGCTCACCCTTCTGGGCCTCAACTTCTGCACCGGAGCACCTCATCTCAGGGAGGAACGGCAGGTAGTGCTCTTCCCCCTGACCCCCATAGGAATATGCTGGAGGGGCGGAGACGCCCTTTCTGGTTGGTGCCACCACAGGAAAAAGTCAGAGACAGAAGTCCAGGTACCCCTGACCTGACCAGTACAGGTGACCATGTGATCATGCCTCCAAGGGCCTGCCCCAGGATTGAAGAGCATCTATCATTGATGAAAAATAATAAACCCTGAACTTACAAAAACGTACAAACATATACAATTCTTGGCCCAGGAGGTTCAAAACAAAACATGCATTCAGTACAGTGTCTAGTAGAAGAAGGTGCCAGAAAATATCCAACAGCAAAAGCGAGACAGGGGGCGATTGAAGGAGTCCTCAGGGTGGCTCCTTCCAGGCCCTTGGACGTCAGGGAAACACACCGTGGGAGGTGAGCGAACCTCCCAGGAAGCCTCATTGACCTTGGCACCAGAGACACCGGCCTATCCCTCCAGGATGACACCAAGCCAAGCCAACCAATAAAACGGCAGCCCAGGAAGTGCCAACCTTTCAGTTCATAGCTAAGCCTTAACCGTGGGCATTAACCAAAGTCTCCGTGATAAAAGTTCTTGTTTGTATTCAGTGGACAAAAGGAAGTCCGTCTTTCTCAACAGGTAAGGATGAGGGTGAAATGTTGGAGTTATCATGACCACCGCAGCCTCAAGGAACCCTGAGTGCACCGTGGTTAAAACAATGGGCTGCTAACCAAAAGGTCAGCCGCCCTAACCCACCAGCTGCCTCATGAGAGGAAGGGGTGGTGTCTGCTTCTGTGAAAATGTGCAGTCTGGGAATGGTATCGGGCAGTTTGATTCTGTCCTCCGGGGTGACTATGGGTTGGAATGGACTCCGCAGCAGTGAGCAATGCAAACCCTCGGCGCAAGATGAAGGGTGAACTGAAACTGGGAGATGAAGATAAATAAACGCCTTCGGAGGCTACTGCCAGATGATCCGTAATGAGAACTGGGGCAAGAAACACCTGGCGGGACCGCCAGGCAACATGCAAGAGTCGTACAGAAGTCTGGCCATTTGATGCATGTCACCTCAAAAGCAAGACTCCAAGCTCACTGTCATCGAGTCAATGCCAACTCACAGAGACCCGATAAGACGGGGTAGCATTCCCCTGTGGGTTTCTGAGATTGCAACACTTCACAGGAGTAGAACGCCCCATCGTTCTCATGCACACTGGCTGATGGTTTCGAACTGCTGACCTTGCTGACCACCATCCAAAGGGTAACTTACCAGTCCATCACCAGAGCTGAATATCACTTCAAAGGAGTTATGAATTGAATGCTCAGACTTTTGTAAGGCTGGAAGGGTGTTAAGGGTAAAATGGTATCCCTGCCCCTTCCCACCCCCAAAACACAACCAAAAATATGGTGAAGCCCTAATCCAGCGGTTCTCAGCCTGTGGGTCGCAACCCCTTTGAGGGTCGACCAACCCTTTCACAGGGGTCGCCTGATTCATAACAGTAGCAAAATGACAGTGATGAAGTAGCAATGAAAATAACTTTATGGTTGGGGGCGGGGGGCCACCACAACACGAGGAACAGTATGAAAGGGCTGCAGCCTGAGGAAGGTGGAGAAGCACTAAGTCTAGAGTCTGCAGAAAGAACAGGGTCCCTTCGACACTTTAAATTTGGACTACTAGTCTCCAGATACAAGAGACAGCAAATGTCCGTTCTTAGAATCACCCCATTTGTGGTGCTTTGTTACAGCATCTCTTGGAAATTCATACAAGAGACAATGGCAGAAATGACCCAAGGTGAGACGTCTTCCAGACGTCCCACAAGAGCAGGATCTGGGCGACCTGGCCGTAAGGGATGAAGAGCAGGAAAACTCAGAGGTGACTCAGAGGCTTCAAGCCTGGGTGACGGCAAGGACAGAGACGGCATGGCAGAAATAGAGAAATCGAGAGGCGTGTCTGTTCTTGGCATTGAACTTGATTTAACTGATTTGTTTGAGAAGCTGGCTGAACTTCTAGATACGGATTGCAGCGTTCAGATGGAAATTCAAAGATGTGTGTCTTCAGTTGACCGATGGGAGAAACCAAAGTTGACCTATGGGAGAAATCTCAGAGTAACACTTCTCTGGTGGCTGGTGGATTTGTACTGCCAACCTTGCGGCATAATGTGTAACTGCCCGAGCTTTGGGAAGCTGTGTAAGGTAGGATCCTGAGGCCAGAACGCAGGAATCCTCACGCCTCATGGGCATAAACCACCCACTAGGTGGCAGTGTCTCCTTACAACGGCTCCATAAATGGTTCTAAGGGATGAAAATGCCTTCATGGAACAGCCAACATGGATGGAATGTTAACTAGGCCCTCTGCTAGGCATGCGATCATATCATTTAGTGCTTACATCAATTCCACGAGTTAGATTCTATTGGTATCCCTGCTTTATAAATGAGAAAACGGAGGCCCAGAGAGATTAATTTGTCCAGTGCTAAAAACCTAGAAATGGGTCTTGCGTCCTTAATTAGAATGCCCTCGCTGCCTCTCAATTAATTTGTATCTTAAAGCATCTGCTAAATACTTAAAGCCTGAAGTAGTCTAGCATTTTTCTTTTAAGGAACTGAAAATTGTTCGCTGAAGATCTGAAGCCAGAAGCCTGTGAGGGGCAAGCAGAGACGGGGCAGAGGGCAGTGAGGAGCGATTGTTGAAGGAACACTGAGTTTCTGGTAAGGGTGAGGAAGCAATTAGAAACTAGTCATGAATCAAATAAACTGAAAAACAAAAAAAAGAAACTAGTCATGGTGATCGTTACACAACACTGTGTATAATCAATGTCACTGAACTGCACATGTAAAAATGGCTGAAGTGACAGATTTATATACCATTTTTACAAAACCCAGGAGACAGCTAGCTTTTTCGGCGAACGTGACAGTCAAGAGTAATGACTTTTGCAAGTGATCCGGTCTCTGTCCCAAGTGCTCAGTTCTGCCTCGGTATCACCAAAAGTAGCCATAGGTGATATGCAAACGAAATGGTCCCAGCTCTGTTCCAATAAAACTTTATTGACCAGAATAGGTTGCAGGTCCCAGACGTCATCATTGTGTTTGACTTTGCAAGAACTAAATGAAGCAAGATTAAAATCGGTAAAAGAACTAGAGCTCACTAATTACCAAGGGCATTGAGGTCATTAATGGAGTCAGAATGTATCCCAGACTCCCAAGTCCCAATCCAATATTCTTTCTGTCCACTTTACATATCAGCATAGCCCCAAAGCCCACTGCCATAATTGATTCCAACTCACAGCGACCCCATCTCTACAGGATTCCTGAGGCTGTTGATCTTTATGGGAGCAGAGTCACGCCTTTCTCCTGTGGAGTTACTTGTGGGTTTGAACCAACAACCTGGTGGTTAGCAGTCCAACACTTACCCAAAAGTGTCACCAGGGTGTTTCACATATCAGCATTTTAAAAAATTAAATTAAATTAAAACACTGGCAGCTAGTCAAGTCTGACTCATCGTGTGGCCACATAGAAGACCCTTCGGGTCTCAGAGGCTATAACTCTTTACCAGAGCAGAAAGCCGTGTGTCTTCCTCCAGCTGAGTGCCTGAGCTGCTCCAACAGCTAATCTGTGGTCAGCAGCCCAACAAGTAACCCTCCATCTGTGCCCCCAGAGCCTCTTAGATCCCCGCACAGAAAAGATGAAAACCCAAAGTATGACTACGTGGGAAGGGAAATGAATTGGCTGTTAAGAAATTGATGTCCTTTGAGGTCATCTACCAACATTGCTGGTCAATTCTCTTCGCTCAGAGCCCAGTCCCCCTCACCTCCCCGGCTCCTCTATAAAATAAGAGAGGTGTGCCTCACCCCAGATGACGTCTAAGGCCAAGGACTTGTGGCACTGGCCCTGCTCTGAGATTTGCCTGCCCCACCCAACACTCACTTGACCGCAGTGGTGAGGCGCAGGGGCCTGACGCCAGGCGTGGCAAAGCGCAGAGTGTTCATGTAAGCCACATGCTGCAGGGCATGGTTGAAGGTCTCCACATCATCCCCCTCCAGGGTGAGCAGGGACTGCGAGGGATTCACATGGACCTGGGCCCCAGACACAGACACAGCTGAGAGCGGACCAGGAGGCAGGGAGCAAAGGTAGATGGGGAGGTGGGGGGTGGGGTGGCAGGGTTGAGGGGCAGAGGGCATGCCAGGAAAGAAAGGGCCAGAAGGAGGGGGTGATACCTTCATGCCTTTGCCCAGGCTCTCGAAATCCCTATAGTCCAGCCCCTCCCGACATGCATAGAGGCACTCGATGACCTCCCGGCTCTCCAGGCGACCGGAGCGCACGCTGAACCCAGCCAGGTAGCCGTGAAAGTAGTGGTGGATCGGCAAGGGGTCTCCTAGGGCAGGAACACAGGAGGGGGACCAGGAGGTGAGAAAAGGTAAAAAGGGGCGGAGGGGCAGAACAGGGGAAGGGGGACTGAGAGAAAGAGAAGAGAGAAATACAGAGAAAGGGAAAGCGGGGAAGAGAAAGAGAAATATGGAAATAGAAAGAAGGCAGGAGAAAGGTGGATAAGAGGGAGGAGGCTGGGAAAGGGAGCGGCATGAAAGAAAGAGAAGAAAGTTGGGGGAGAAGAAAGGTGAACAATAGAACTCACCCAAATCAGGAAAGCTTCCAGGACAAGGAATCAGGACGAGGGAGGCAAGAGGGGGAGCCAGGAGGGGCGTGCAAGGGCGGGGGTCTTTCACGGTGACATGCACGAAGCCCAGGGGGAGGGGGGGTGCACTTCGGCGGGCGCCCAGACCTTCCTCCCCTGTCTGATCAGACCTCTTCCACTTCCTTTCCGCTATGCATCTCACTCCGTAGTCAAGAAAGGACACCCCCTAGGCCTCACCAGAAGGATTCGATGTGGAGGCCCCACGAAGTGAATGGGTTTACCTCAAACTCACCTGTAGCAGATCTGTGGAACGGACACACTCACTCAGACATAAGGCTAAAATGCCCTCGTGTGAGAGAAGCGGATGACTGCTATCCCAAGGTTATGGAAAGGGCAGCAGTTGGACTTGGGTTCCGATCTCTTGCTTTGAAGGTGCCCAATCCAAGACTCCCGTTTATTTACCACTTTAATGCCCTCCTTGCTCGCTTGCGACAATCTATTAATCTGGTAGGCGAGGTTCTGCCTTTGGGAATGAGTGTTAATGAAAGTTTGCCCCATCCCCAAGCCCCACTGTTTGTGTTCAGTGTCCATTCACTTGAGAGTTTAATCGGTACAAGTCAACAATCCATGTATTACAGTCTGAAGTCGGCCTGGATGTATATCAATAAATTCCCTTTCTCAACAGTGTTTTAAATTCTCTATCATTGGCTAAATGAATGACACGATTAATAGAACTACCTTATGCCCAGGGGGATGATTGATCATATTCTCTAACATAAAATGATAATGACGTCCCTGAAGTGATCCAGAGACATGTGTAAACCATAGATACAAGAATGGATTTGGGGCTTGCTCTACTCCAGCCCTCCTCTAAGAACAATTGGCTCTTATGCCATGGCCCTGCTCGAGGCTCGCCCTCATGAAGAGATCACGGAAGTATGGGTGCTGTAGCAAAGGGTGGTGAAAAACTAGATGATGCCCAACTATCAGAAAGATTGCTTCTGGGGTCTTAAGGGCTTGTCTCAAACAAGCAGCCATCTAACTGAGGTGTCAACATGAAAGAAGCACACCAACCTTGTGACCCAAGGATTATAAATCATCAAATCCAAACGTAAAGGAGGGAATGGTTTCAGGGCTCAAATTGTGAACACCAGTTTGCAGAAGGCTATGGGTGACAGTGGAAGCCCAAAATCCAGTGGCAGGGTCCCCACATGGAGCTGAGTCTCTGGAGAACACCCTCTGACCATAGTTGAGGGAGGTGAACAGCCTTCCTAGGAGGGAGCAGTGTAAAGTCGATTATGATCAACGTCGTTAGGTTAAAATGGAATACTTTGTCGTTTGATCTCCCTTTTGACCCATTTTAAAGTTATTTCAGTTTCTAAATATTTTCTGCCTTATTTTTTGATTTAGGCTTTCCTGTTTTGCCTACTCGTTGGGTTCTTGTTTGTTTGCTTGTTTGCTTCCTTCGTGTTTGTGTTTGTATGATTTCCTGTACATCAAATCCAGGACCGGTAGATCTATAGAGACAATGACTGGATAGGGGCATGACAAGGAGGGATGGGGGGAGGTGGGGAGCTGACAACAATGAGTCTGAGAAGACAATTGTTCTCAAATGGATTGTGGTGATGACAGCACAACTCTTCTTAAGATGGTTGAGTGAATAAAAAAATAAATTAACTAAAAAAAAATTTTTTTAAGCAAAAAAAAAAAAGATGATTGAGTGACTAAATTGTATGATGTGTGAAATAGATGCCAATAAAATGAATTCTTTTTAAAAAGAAGAAAGGGTCCCCATACTCTAGCCAAACGCCATCTCCCACCTCTCTGGGGAAAACCTGCCCTGCTGCCGTTCTCTGAGGCTCTGGCCCCTGGTGGTGGGTGAAGCAGGAACTGTAAGGATGGAGGGGCAAGGATTGGGGGTGCACAAGGGAACGTGGAACGGAAAGTTCTCACACAGAGTACCTTGTGTTGGGTCCGTGCTGCTGTCTCCTCCTTTCTCCTTCGCCTTGCTCTTCTCCTCTGGGGGGACAAAGTGCCGGTGAGCTCAGTCAGGGTGGTGGGGAAATAGCGACTTGGGGAGTGAGGGGCTCTGTCATGTCTCCGTCTCTCAGGCCTGCTAGAGACAAACTCCCAAAGGTGTTGGCGAAGAAGCACTCGGGTTCTAGTAAGACACACACGCGCGCGCGCGGGGTGGGGTGGGGATTAAATCATCTAAAGATGAGAAGCCTGGTAAACCTCTGAAGGGAGTGGTTCTGGATCTCAAGCAGGGGCTTGGGGAACTGTACAAATCACCAGACTACGGATGGAACCACCTGAGAACAAGTGGACGTTACAAAGCGATGCCTGAGCGGGCAGTGCTCCAGGTCAGAGGTGATGCCCGATGGAATGGGCAGAGACGTGGAAGGCTTCCGCTGGGAGACCTGGAGCTCTCGTCCTATCCGCATCTCGCAGGGAGGTGCAAGAAGGGACTTCAATTAGCCCTGCAGATGCGATCAGGCTGCTCTCCCAAGCCCACCTCCCTTCACCAATCCTAAACCTCTGGATACCTTTGATACAAGTTCAGAGGGCCTTACCAGACCAGCAGGCCCCGATCATCAGCGCAGGCTCCCTTCGGGGTGGGTGGATGAGACCGTTGTCGTGGATGAGGGCGGGGTCGAAGGAAATCCCATCAGCATAGAGTGTGACCGTGGGGAACTCGAGATTCAAAGCATAGTGGTGCCACTCATCATCACAGACCTGGGGGAGACCAAGGGCAAGCGCCCCATCGCTTTAGCTTCGAGGAACTGTGCTCAGGAGGCGGGGCCCAACCCCTTATATTCCCAGTGCTAAGAACGGGCTTACTAGTACCTTCCCAGAACAGCTCAAGGACCAGCACCCTTGTCCCAAATCTATCCAACAACAAACCTAGTACCTAAAATCCCACCGTCTTCAAGTAAATCTTTAAAAATATATAAGCATTGCCAAAAGGAGTGGCACACCATAGCACCAATCATACCCCCCAAAAATGTAAATATATGCCCAATAAAATAATTTTTTTTAAAAAAAGCACTAGCCTATGGTAAGAGCTGGTGTTGGGGTAAAAATAAAGAAACAGAAAAATAATACTAGAAACAAAAATGTGCTTTGCTTTACCCTGCCATATTTCTTTTGGTTTAAAATCATTCAAACAACCAGGAAAATCTCTTCTTTGGAAACTTTAACCAATACAAATGAATAAACCTGTGGTACTTATATGATCATTTGTCAATTTGAGGATTCAGATTGAAGGGGTGGAGTCTAGGCTGTCAATCAGGTCATAACCAATGAGGCCTCTGTGTGGGCGTGACCTTATGAGGATTCTGGGAACTCCTGTATTTTCCTCCTTGGAGGCAGAAGACACATATACTCTAGGCTCACTCCCTGCGAGACTCCCTGAGGAGAAGACACATGGACCTACCCTGATGCATTCCTGGGAGCTGGAAAAGCCATGTGGAGACTCCTGCTAGCGCTGAGATGCTTCCAATGCCACTGGATTCACAAGACTTCCTATCCACTGACCTGTGATCTTCCTGCATTCAGTGTCATTGCATGTGTTTCGTGAGTCTGAAGAGGACTTTATAGATATGGGCTAATATCAGACTTATGGACTTGATCTGGACTGGGCTGGACTGTTTCCTCAATAGTCAATTGCTCTTGTAGATAAAGCTCTTCCGTGTACACACACACACATACACACACAAATGTAAACATATGAATGCATGCATGTATCTATTGTGTATCTATGGTACAGGACCAACACTGGTCTGTCAGTTTGTCATCCTGTGGTGGCTTGTGTGGTGCTGTGATGCTGGAAGTTAGGTCACCAGTGTTCCAAAAGCCAGCCTGGCCCCTGGAGAAGCACATCCTGCTTGGGGAAGCAGTGGGGCAGCAAGAAAGAGAAAGACCTGCGACGAGATGGGTGGGCACCGTGGCTGCATCGATGGGCTCAAGCCTGAGAACACTTGTGAGGGGGCACGGGCCCGGCAGGACTTCCTCTAGTGCACATGGGGTCGCTGTGCGTCCCAGTCGCAGCCACATGGCACAGGGACGCCTAGGGTCGTTGTGCAAGACCGTGGCACGTGATCTAGGGTAAGTGCTAGCCCGGCAGGAACCACAAAAACAAACTTGGGTCTCCCTTCGCTGCAGCCACGTCAGGAGAAAGGGATGGTCGAGAAATGAAGGGTGGAGAGTTTTCTGCCTTGGCAGCTTCCAAATAGTGGGGTTCCTGAAGGCTCTGGCTCTTTTCCCTTTTCTCTCTATACTCTCTTCCCGGGGACAACCTCATCTGTCCCTGTGGATTCAGATACAATATTTATGCTCCTCATTCCAAAATCGAACATTGTGAGCCCAAAAGCTCTCTTCTAAATGCTGACCATCTCCACATGGCTGTATCACAGATCTCTCACCTGTGATGTGTGTAAGACAGAGGTCTGGTCGTACTAAGAGTTAGGCGTTGGGCTGCTAACTGCAAGGTCAGCAGTTCAGACCCAGCAGCTGCTCCAAGGGATACAAACGAGGCTGTCTGCTCCCACAAAGATGTACAGGTTTAGAAGCCCTGTGTTGGGTCACAGTGAGTCAGAATCAAAATGATGGTTGTGGTTTTGTGTGTGTGTTTTAGTCCCGGCCTCTTTCTGACTTCCTCAACATCGCCTGGGCCGTAAAAGGCTCGGCCACCCATCCAGTGGGTGACTCGCGAAAGAGACACGCTGAATTCCTCCCTTCCCTCTTCCTCCAGATCGAATCCATCAGTTGCTCCTGTCAGTCTTGGGTACAAACCAAACAAGAAGCCCTGTTGTTTCTATGCGGTCCCCTACATCTGTTTGCACACGTCAGCCAAGTCCTCAGTTTCCCCGGGTTGTCTCTCTCAGTGTGGACCCTTACAACTCCGCGCTGCGTTCTTCCCACAGATCCCAAAGAGATCTGCTTAAAACGAAATCTGACCAGACCACTTCCCTACTTCAAATCCTTCAAAGGCTTCCTGTCTCTCATCAAACAAAATCTAAACGAACGCCAGCACACAGGCCCACTGCGTAACCTGGTCCCTCCCATTGCCCCCACCTCCCGTCATCTTGGGGCTCTCCACCCCAATCACCGTGGCCTCCTTTCCTTGTCTAGAGCTCGCTCTGGCCTCAAGGCACCTGCTCCTCCTTCCACCTGGCTCACTCCTCCTTTCTCGACTGGTGACTGCTTCTCGGCCTTTAGATTACATTTCGTCTCGGTCTCACCTTCCCTGAACGTCTATCTGCATCCCTCCTTTCCCTACCTTCCCCCATTTTCCACCTCAATCCCTTGCTTATTTCTTTCAGAGAATTCATCATAAGTTATGGTCTTCACATGCCTGTTTATTTTATTTAAGTCTACCTCTCCAGCTACAATGTAAGCTCTGTGAAGGTAAAGATGGGGTCCCTCTTGGACTCCACTGCATCCCCAGAACTTAAATAAGGATCTGGGACTTCATTGGCATTTAATAAATGCTTGTTGGGTAAGTGGAAGTGGATTAAAGAGGAAAGAAGGGCTCGTGTGAGCGGCCAATGTCAACAGCCCGAAGGAAAGAGCAAGGATTGGTAACGAACAGACTGTCTCTTTAAGCGCTTTCTGTGAAGCTCTTACAGCCGGGCCGTAATTGTCCAGTTAGGGGATTCCCACTGTCTTCATTTCCCTTCCTCGCTCTACTTCCTGCCCTTGCTCAGCCACTCTTGCGTCAGGGCTTACAGGAAAAATAGAAGAAGGTTAAAAACTCAGATTAGTCCCATTGGTCCTTGTGAAGGACCAGGGTGGAGAATGACTGAAAATAGAAGAGGCTGAAATTCAAGAGATAATTTTTAAAATTTCTTCCAACACTTTATTCCTCATAATCATGTCCAATAAGAAGAATTAACGTGTCAGGAAGTCTTTCAGGCTACAAAGGATTCGTCTATCATTGATCCTACCAACAACCCTGGAATATAGACTTCTTATGATCCTCACTTAACAGGGCAAAGGAGCAGAGGTTTGGACACATTGATTAGGAGAACTGAACCTCAATTCACGTATGTCAGAATGACCTGTTTTCCCCATTACAACATGTGTAATGGAGAGTCAGGGACGCATACTGTTAGGTTAGGTTCTAGATACAAGAGAGATCCCAAATCTAAACAGAGGCTGGTTGTTGGAATTGGATATCATAGTACTTAAGCCCAGAGTACTTGTTATAGGAGACGAGTCTTGGAAGAAAAGAACAAGGGAGCCTAGGGATGGATGGTCAATGACCGTAAGGAGAGAATGAAAGAGGTAGTACGAAGCAGCCAGGAAAATGCCAGCTCCTGCCCTGCCCCAGGGCCCTCATCCCTCAGTCAGCTACCAACAGCCGGGCTCACCTGCTCCAGCTTCCAGAGGAACTTGACCGGGCGGGCACTCTCAAGCAGGGGCCAGTAGAGGAAGGCAATTCTGCAGCCATGGACCGTCAGGGAGTAGTGAGAGAAGCCGTCCTCTGGTGGGAGAAGGTAGAAGCAAGGATCAAACAGCAGGCCTGAGTAGGAACACGCTCAAAGCACCAGGAGGGAGAGGATGCTTGCTTCTCCAAACTAACCCTCCCTCTTGTACACTCTCACTCCTTCGTTTATTCTCTCCCTCTCTCTCTCTCACACACACACACACACACACACGCACGCGCGTGCGCACGCACGCACGCACATGCACACGCACACGCACATTTACACTCATGCACCATTTACTTCAAGCCGAAACTAGGACACTCAAGCACTCTGATTGGCTGAGGGGGGAACACTGGGCAACCTGTTTCCAACAACCCTTGATGGGCTTATGGCTAATACAAATGCCATGGGCGACAACCATCTTCAGGCTGAGATACATGGGGTCAGAGGAGTGACCATGAACGAAAGACCTGAGCCCTCCCAAGGGGGAGGGGAGAGGCAGTGCGTGCGGTCAAGGGAAAGAAGCACGTTTGGAGGTGCAGCCAGCTAGCCCTTCGAGGCAAAGGCTAAGGTAGTGGCAGAGGGAAACGAGGGGGTACCCCTCATCCAGGCTTTTCCAGTACAATGGAGGGCTGTAATGGGCCAGGAGGGAGGAAGTCCACCGCCTGGCGGACCTCAGGGAGATGGGACGATGACACAGGAGAGTGGCGATGGCAGGTCCACTGGGTGCTGAGAGCAGGCCCACCTCAACATGTCCTGGTGGCTACATCGCTGAATTTCAGGACGTAGGACATGCCGCACTGTCCCTTTGCAGGAGAAGAGGGTAAGTGACCTGCCCACAGTCACACAACGGGCAACGACAGAACCACAACAAGAGACCAGCTTGCCCGCTGTTGGGCAGTGCCCTAGGGGGGCTCACCGTTCTGGACGGTGTTACACACAATGGTTTCCTCTTCTTTCTTGCCCTTGCTGGGAGTTACGCCATGCTTCATCCAGAAGGACAGGGTGAAGTGGTCACTGAGGCTGTCCTGGGACCCAGAGCCTGTGCCCCCCTGGGGCACCTGCACAGCTTGGGTGCCATTGAACCAGTAGATAAGGCTGCTGTCCTGGCTGTAGTGCACAGAGAGCCCTGCGGTCCAGTTGGCATTGGGGCCAGGCATTGGCAACAGATCCACCTCCCCCGTGGCAGCACCTGCAAGAGGCCCAGGGGGCACGATATCAGCGTCAGGGGGCAACAAAGGAGACATGGGAAGGAGGCAGGGAAAGGGCGACTGATGGGGTGGGGGGGTAGAGAAAGGTTTTCTGTAGCTAGTCTCATTGCTTCTTCTAGACTTTCAAAGACAAGATGGGGATGGACCTCCCTAGGGATCTCTCTCCAATTAACTCAACCCGTTCCCCACCTCTTCATCGCGCCCCACAACGTATCTGATGGCGGCATTGTGCTATGCCGTGTCTTTGCCAATGACACATCCATTGCCCTTTTGGACCCCCAAAGCTAACCATGGACTGTGATCCCTGTGGATATATTCATGCACTTGGAGAAGTCCAGAGGGTTCTTTGAGAGGAGCCCAGGAAGGCCCAGCAGAGACTGAGTTGGAAGAGATAGGCCTGAGGAGTAAGTTGGGGGCAAACCTACCACAGAGTTTCCTCAGCGCCCGCTCTGAGTAGTTGTCCCGGTCACAGCCCTTGGCCACGTGGCTGGTCTGTAGCTCTATGGTGGCCTGAATGTTCCAGAGTGGCTCATCACAGGTCTCCAGGCGGATGCCAGGGAACAACGCCAAGCTCCCAGCGCCCGGCGCATATTCAATCCTTTTGTTCCAGCCTGTGTGGGTGCAACAGAGAGGCCGGTGAGGCAAGAAGGTAAGACAGCCGCTTTCCTCCATCCTTCTCCTGCCGTGCGCCCTGCCAGCCTGGAGGCCCTGGGAAAATGGCCCAGCCAGGGAAGACAGTGGTGCGCCTGCCCCCAGAGATCCCGTCTTTGACCCCTAGATGGTCAGAGGTACAAACAGGAAGGCCCAAAGGGAAGCTCCTCACCTTGCCAGCTGGGTTTACAGGTGGGCTTCACCTGGATCTCCACCTCTGCGTCATCGGCTGCCCGCTTCTTCCCGCAGTCGTAAGCCGTCACGGTAAACTTGTAGAGCCGCTCCCCGCTGTACTGCAGCTTCTCCGTGTTCTCGATGTTCCCTGGAGCAGAGGAGGGCAGACAGGGTCAGCAGCACTGGAGAAGCCACAGGGAGGCCAGGGCAGGAGTTAGGGGGTTCGTTGAGCTGCAGGTGAATGAGGATACACGGGAGAGGGCTGGGGCGGGGTTTTCACATCTGAGAAGGAAGATGTGAAGTGAGCATGCGAAGGGCAGGAGATGTGGCAGCCCAGGCCCGAGGGGCACTGACAGAGATGGGCCACTGGGGCGCCCGGGGGATGGACTCACCGTCATTGTCTATGAGGAAGGGGGTGTTGGGTGTAAGGATCTCATAGTAGCAGATCTGGCTGTACTGTGGGGAACAGTCGCCATCAATGGCTTCCACCCGCAGGATTCGGTCATACAGCTTCCCCTCCGTCACTGCCGCCCGGTATAGCCGCTCCACAAACACAGGGGCAAACTCATTCACGTCGTTAACCCGCACGTGTACCGTTGCCCTGCATGCATCAGAGTTGGAGGAGGGGTGAAGAAAGGGGGGACAAGGAAGAGTCAGCCAGCATCCGTGTCCCCAGAGAGGCAAAGGGGGACAAGTAGGGATGCAGGTGGCACACTGAACAGGAGAGGAGCCATCAGACCCTGAGCCTGGGGCAGATCAGCAGGCTCACTCCCACCCTGCAGAGCACCAGGCTGGGTCCGAGCCGTGCCACAGGGTAGCAGGCTCCAAGGAGAAGGGCCTCACAAGAATGGGGGCTAAGGAAGGCATGCAGAATACACCCAAGAGATACCCAGGGGCTGATTTGGATGACTTCTGAGCACAATGGGTGCCCCACAAGAGGTGAGGCAGAAAAGTTTGCATCTGGTGGGCAAAGTCAACTGCTATCTGAGCAGTACATGTGAGCTGTATGCTCCGTCCTGTGCACACGAGCTTGTCATGAGTGACACACACACACACACACACACACATACTCTTGGGCCTTGGGCAAGTAGACCTGGGTAGAAGCCCTCTGTGCTAAGTCCTGCCTGTAGCCAAGATTCAGGCACCCAAGGCGAAGGGTAAGGGTGCTATCTCCAAGTGGGAAACAGGGTCACAAGGAGAGGTTTCTCTCTCGTACCTCTTAGTGGCCCGGGAATCCTGGCTGACAGTCTCTCTCCATGGCACATGGCAGTGAGAGTCAGCAGGAATGGATGCAGGTGGTCTGGACCCTGGCCATCTGCGCCCGACCGTCTCCTAGAACTGCATATGTGAGTGTTCCTGTGTCCACTGCAGGTAGACTGGTGAGCAGTGGACAGGGGCTCCAGATGTGTGCTGAGCATGGTTCCTCCTCCTCCTCCTCCTCCTCCTCATCATCATCATCATCATCATCATCGTCGTCATCAGCATCATAGCTCCCATGTGTTAAGCCCTTTACCCTGTGCCAGGTAGTGTGATGTGTGCTTTACACACACCATTTAATCTTCACAACAACCCTGCGAAGCAGGTACCCCTATCACTATCCTCATGCTACACAAGAGGGAAAGTAGACCCACAAGAGCTCAGTAAGCTGCCCAAAGCCGGGGTTTCCAAGGAAGGGAG